CTGCCCAAATACACGCGCAGTTTATGTCGATGTCATCCTTGACATGACAACTCGCGCGATACTACACACATTACGACGTTTCATCGCCGCCAATGGATGCCCAACTTGGATAGTGTGCGACAATGCTCAATCATTCAAATCGATTGCTGAATGTTACTCATCACTGTCCGATCAACCTAACATTGATGAAGATGTCCTGAATTACTGCGCTCAAAAGAGGATACAGATAAAATTCATACCAAGCTTGAGCCCTTGGCAGGGTGGTGTCTATGAAAAAATGATAGACATTTTCAAGAAACCAAGTGTGATGTAATTTTTATTTGAGAGTATTTCTTGAATGTAGTGCTCTGATGATTATCACTGCTCCATTAAGGAGTTAGAAAAAATATTACGGCTATTTTTGTCCTGTTCGCACACTTATTTTTTACCCCATTAAGCGCTCATAACTCCTCGTCCACTCGAATCAGCAATTTATGCCCTTTGATATGGTATACGTCTCATCCAAAAAGGCCACTTTGACTAAACATGCATTCCTAGCACTCTTAGCATTTCCTAGAAGACTAATGTTTGGAATTTTATCATAATTGTCTTAGTCAATAACAGCCGCGACAAAGCATTGCTTGACACACACCCCAAACATATGGAAAGACTGCTATCTATGTGGAGGTTATAAAGTCAAACTCTGTATAAATGCTCGTGGTTCTGTATACGCTTTTCCTATCAGCTCATCAGCCAATAAAGCTTCGTCCAATTCTTTTAAAAGTCCAAACAGTCGCGTGATGTTTGTTTTCGGCCTTACATTTGAGTTTTCAAAGGTGTTGTACTTGAAATATGGTTAGTAAACCAATCATTTTACCACTCCCCTTTTCCAAACAACTTTCCTCATCATAAATTCTTTATCAAAAAAGAGTTCAAGGTACTTTGGCGTTTATTCAGACACATTCTCAACAAGGATATGGATTTTCTTTTTGTAAAACCAGCCTCGTGGGAAGGTGTGTCAACATCCTGCCACCATTTATCAAAAATTGACATAACATCTACATGATTAGCAGTGATCGTATTCATCATTGAACCGAGGTAGATATTGCCTTGAAGTAAATTCTACCACAAGGTAGATTGTACATTAAGCGATTGGTATTAATCAATTTACCTCACTATAATTTCTACCTTTGCCTGTGTGCCATACACTGATGTTTATTTCGAGCACGCTATGACGTCCTAGCGTTGCTCTAAGATTTCTATTGCCAATAGAACTCTTGTTAAACAAAATAAGTTTATCGACACTATAATTTGTTGACATCCTTCGCATTCGAACCAAATTTTGCAAATGGGTTTGTTGTAAAGATAACATTACTTCATAGAAAAATTTTATTTGCAAAACAGATTTACGGTTTTGATGTTGAGCCAAGTAAAGAGGGCTTGTTCGAATGAATACAATCTTGTGTTGATGTTTCGCAGATCTTTAGCTATTGAAGAGCTAGCTTCTCTCTATATTCAAGATGTACAAAGCACCGGTTTTTCTTTATTGACTGTAGAGTTAAATGATAAATTCTTCAAATGGTATCCTCCACTAGCCCGAAAAAGCTCACAAATATCAAATTAGTCTAAGTTGCGAATTTCGGCTATGAGGCTTGCATTTTCTACCAAAATGTTGGATAGTCACGCCTGTTTATTGTGCTCAAGAAGTTTGTCTAAGTTTAGTTTTTAAGTTAAGGTTCTTGTCTTGTTTGGTTTTGCATTATTTATCTGTTACTTGACCCCTTTCAAAGTCTGACACGAGAAGTGTTTTAAAAGAATAAAACTTGGCCATGATAATTACCTCAAGTTTGCAGACGTCAGTGATTTTTCAGGGTTTTACTAGCGCGCGGCGCTTTTGCCCGCTTTCAGTGTTTTTGGGCCTCTTTGGAAACTTTGGGTTCTTTTCGGCAAAGTTTGTCCGGTCCTTTTATTCGACACATACTCTCGTCTTCCAACTGACTGATTGACATTACAGTAAACCGTACTGCAATGCAATTTACCTTGAGCTGTTCCTCAAAATACAGTTTACTTCAAAGTATAATTTTTTGTATTCATCAAATTTTTTCTTTCAAGGTTAAATTTACCTTTATAAGCATTTTTAGGACTGACTTTGGAGAGTGACGTAATTGCGGGAACTACTTCTTATGTATCCGCATGATATTTACACAAGGAAGCCAGCAGTGTTCAGTGCCTTATAGTTAGATATTTCGAAACCGCTTTGTCTATCTAGTCTACCACCCCGGCTCTAAGGGTTTTTACCTGACGAACCAATTATTTTTGAATTTTATTTTAGATTAAAATAATGAAACCTGCCTGCCTGAAAATACCTCTTCTCGTTTGGTCACCGAGCAATACCTCAACAAATGGTTTCAAATTTTTAATATAATATTTTGATTTCTCAGCCAAGGTTGGAAAACTTCTACTAAAACTTTGGCATCACTCTTATTTATACAAATCAGGCTTTTTTTTCGGAAAGTCGTGAAGTTCGTGGAGTTTTTCATACTAAATATAAGCTTGTGAAGGCAGATTATGCTAACGTAAATCAGCTTCGGTTTGAGAATACTCCACAGTTACATGGCTCAAGCTCATATGTACGTCGTTACAAAAATGAAGAGTAGAGGTGTAGTTCTTGATGAGCCAACAACATTTTATCTACTTTTTTGCAAACACGGCTATCTCTTTCCCTCTCACTAAAGACAGCCCCAATTCTCCCAAAACATAATACCAACAGTTTAGTATTTAGTGCTATCCGAAATGAGCACTTTGTCTCCGATCTTTACATTTGTAGAAAAAGATGCCGACTTCAAAACGTTAACCCTCGATTTTGATACCACTTAAGTATAGTCCCAAAAGTAAGTGCACACTTTTCAATCGTCAATATCTCCTTTTCCCAATGGGTCTTTTTCGCCAGTCAAGTACCATTCTGTAGAGGAAGTTCCAACTTAGATCTACAATATCAATGGAATCACCGATCGCTCTTCGTTACTGTAGGATTACGAGAATTTTCAACATGTGGAACAACTGTGAAATATGCCATCTAACAAAAGTTCTTTCGTAAAAAAACCGTGTATTCGGTTGTCAAGAAAACAATGTCGTTTTTTATTTGTTTGCTTTAACAAAGCAACCAGACTCAACCCAACAAAGAGTAATAGGTACTGTTCGATAGAGCAAAGCAAGCTCTACAAGATGGCCTTCATAATTTTGCGACAAACTCGATCCACGAAAAGTTCGAACTCAAAATCTGAAGATTTCCAAGTGACCAAAAAATCGAAAAAAAATCAGATCTTCGTCCAAATAATTTCTACGGACCTCCCACTCGCACTCATCAGTAATTCCGATGAGTGGTACCCCTATGTGCAGTTGCTGTATTTTTTCCTTAACTAGAAACTGAGAAAACGAAGATTTTCGTGTTTTTCCGAAAGCAATGCTGAGCCGTTCTTGCATATGTGATTCTATACCTACAAGCCTAGGTAAGTATAACTGTAGATTTTCAGCCCATTCCGAGCGGTAGTTTTCGAGAAATATCGAAATCAGCTTTCCTCGTTTCAGTTTCAGTGCTGAAAGCGGCATTTCTCGAAAAGTGCCGCTCGGAATGGGCTGAAAATCTACAGTTATACTTAACTAGGCTTGTAGTATAGAATCACATATGCAAGAACGGCTCAGCATTGCTTTCAAAAAAACACGAAAATCTTCGTTTTCTCAGTTTCTAGTCAAGGAGAAAATACAGCAACTGCACATATCGGTCTCACTTATCGTAAGTACTGATGAGTGCGAGTGGGAGGAGGTCCGTAGAAATTATTTGGACGAAGATCTGATTTTTTTTCGATTTTTTGGTCTTTTGGAGATCTTCAGATTTTGATTTCGGACTTTCCGTGGATCGAGTTTGTCGCAAAATCATGGAGGCCATCTTGTAAAGCTTGCTTTGCTCTATCGAACAGTGCATATTATCCTTTGTTGGGTTGAGTCTGGTGTCTTTGTTAAAGCACGCAAATAAAAAACGACATTATTTTCTTGACAACCTGATATTAGAGTTTTCGTGCACAACTTGCTAACGTGCTAATTTTACCACACAACTTTTCACAAGTGTTTCCAACTTTTTTGACGGTGTAATCACATTTCTGAGAAAACTGAGAATTCATTATTACGCTTTACTTGGGATAATTTTGGAAAGAAGCATGTTGCTTGGTTAGTTTTGTTCCGAGGCAGAATATGGCTTCCAATGGCCTAAAATCCTTGTCGAAGTTACTACAGTACTCCTAAAGTAATGAAGAGAGATCAGTGACACTTTCGATACTCTGGATCTAAGTTGAAGCCTCCTCTACAATGGTGCTTAGATGATGGAAAAAGACACAATGGGATTGAAAAGTGTGTGCTTACTTTTGGGACACCCTGTATAAGGTATCAAAGGTATAGGTATCAAAACCAAGGGTTAATCGTTTTGAATACAATCTTTTTTCTTTAGAGAGATCATCAAAGACGAAGTGCTTTCATCAAGCAGCTTGGACTCGGTGATTACAACAGTGCTACTGTGCTCAAGATGCGAGAGCGTATGAATCCTGTGTATGACTGTTTGACAAAGCGAAAAATTCTCTTTTCCGAAACGGCAATAATCAAAAAGTCGGTTTTGTCGTGAATGCGTTAAAACTACAACTGCGAATCTTTAAACTTCAACAAGAGCTAGCATTTAGAAGAAAATATCAGTTAGCTCAATTTAGCAAAAGTTGAAAAAGTGAATAGACTCTGTACTTTTCGAAGACTAGGTCTTGTAGCTAACACGTCTGCACTTTCAAAAGCTTGTGGTACACAAGTGATAGTGCGAGAAACTTGTAAGTATGCTTCTAAATTTTTTTAGAGAGCTTCGTTGAAAGTCTGTCAGCCCATTATATTTGCAAGAAACGTAGAATCTCTCATCGCGTGTAGAGGCATTGAATCATGCAGTCAACTTTCTGGTCAAAATCTTCCTTTTTGGTAGTTTTGTCATAATGTCTAAGAATAGCTTCCAGGTTCCAAAGATTGTGCCTATCTGTTACCTGAGATTTGTGGTGATGAAGTATACCAAACTTCTCAAAGTATTCGGATATATGATTATATTATGTGAGTTGATTTCCAATTCAAAATTTTCTTCAGTAAGTGTACGGTGACACTAAAGGCAAGCAGATCTGCTTTTGAGTGACGGAAAGAAGCTTTGAAATGTTCCTAGGACATAAAATCTACCGAATCTGAAAACGAGCAAAACAAAAAATGAGTAGACGTTACCTGCTTGCCCAAAAATTGTCAAAACTAACTGCTCACAAGAAAATCTTAGCGCGCAAATGTGCCAAAATCTTTGGTATCACAATGCTTACTACACAGAAACTTAGCGATTGCAAGATAACCTTGAGCTCTACTTGGTGGTCAGCATTGTCTCAATGCTGCAAGTTTACAAGGTGTTTGAGAAGTTTATGGTCTCAGGTCTTCTATTGCAAATTCTGACTTGATTTTTTCCATTGTTCGCTAAACCTGATCACCAGCTTCATGATACTTCAAAAAATTCAAAGGTGAGCAATTTTTTCAGCTTCCTTAAAGGCGGAAAAGTGCACCATATGTTTTGTTCTACTTTTTCCAAAGCCGGTAAATTGAAAAAAACTTTCAGTTTTTTATTGCGAATGTCCTAGGTCTACACTTTCATTACACTGACAAGGGAAAGATGGTCAGTCGAAGTGGCCTTTTGCGACGGTTTGTATACGATGTTGGAGGCGTGAAATGTTGATTCCAAATCTGTTCTTCTTATCTGCGGAGCTTTTCTGGACGAGGAGTTATAAGCGTTTGAAGGATTAAAAAAATGAATGTTTATCGGGATAAAAACAGTTGCAAAAATTTTCCAGCGCCTGAATGAGATAGCAGGAATGTGGAATTATCTCTTCTAAGAGTATTTATTAGGTGGGTCCGAAAGTTTGTCGGTTTTTTCAATCCATCGGCAAACACGCTAGAATGAAGATAAATAAACGCTTCAATATATATCCGATGCAGAATTTCTTCCTCTTCCCAGCTGCTAAATTTGCATCGAGTTTCGTTGCGAGAGTGACGAGATATTTGCTGGAAATCACAACCACTCGTTTTTACCATGTCCAACTTTCGCTAATTTTCAAAATTTTTGTATGAGACTTTCGGAGGAGCACTAATAACCATCAGATAGGGCAAACCTTTTGCCAACAGAAGCAATTTTTCGTAGCCTTACGGCTTGTCCTTCAAAATTTCTACGATTTATTTATTGAATTGACCAAATTATACATTCAGCCTATTTTGACCTCGCAGAACATAAAATGTCAAACACTTCAGTCACCATTCGATGCAGATTTTTCTCCTCTTCCTAACACTTGTCTTTTTGTGCCGAGACAGGCAAAATTTGTGGGAAAAATCGCAGTATCTCTAAATTCCAGGAGTGCGCACTGACGTGACCTGTGTTTCAAAATTTTCATAATTTGAAGCGAAAATCGCTCACTTAATTTGTAATAGTAGCGGTAGTAATAATCGAGTGTTGAAAACTCAGTTTTCTGTAGCTTTTGCAGTGTTTGGTGCAATAACAGGCTGTGCGATTTTTCCAAAACACAAGACTTTTACTTAATTAGCAGAGAGAGTGAACTTTTTGCCAGCTTACGCAATTTTTTCCTTGCTTTCAGCTGCTTTTTCAGATTTTTGCTAAATAATTTTGTAAAAGTCTTGTGTTTTGGAAAAATCGCACAACCTGTTATTGCACCAAACACTGCAAAAGCTACAGAAAACTGAGTTTTCAACACTCGATTATTACTACCGCTACTATTACAAAGTAAATGAGCGATTTTCGCTTCAAATTATGAAAATTTTGAAGCATGGGTTACGTCAGTGCGCACTCCTGGAATTTAGAAATACTGCGATTTTTCCCACAAATTTTGCCTGTCTCGGCAAAAAAAGACAAGTGTTAGGAAGAAGAGAAAAATCTGCATCGAATGGTGACTGAAGTGTTTGACATTTTATGTTCTGCGAGGTCAAAATAGGCTGAATGTATAATTTGGTCAATTCAATAAATAAATCGTAGAAATTTTGAAAGACAAGCCGTAAGGCTACGAAAAATTGCTTCTGTTGGCAAAAGGTTTGCCCTATCTGATGGTTATTAGTGCTCCTCCGAAAGTCTCACACAAAAATTTTGAAAAATAGCGAAACTTTGACATGGTAAAAACGAGTGGTTGTAATTTCCAGCAAATATCTCGCCACTCTCGCAATGAAACATAATGAAAGTTTAGCAACTGAAAAAAGGAAGAAATTCTGCATCGGACACATTTTGAAGTAAACTCCAGGTTCTCTCTTCTCTGAATCTGAGCATCTTATGTCGTAAATTGTAATAGATGTTCTGCCAAGCCCAGGTTACTACGGTGGAGTCTTTATTGACTTAACGTTTCGACAAGGTCGTCTTCTTCGGAGGTCTGAAAGATGATTGCAGTCCTGACCTGTGAAACTACGCCGACAAACGTCATCTCCGTAGTTATCGAGTCTAAACCTCGTCTTATGCACAACGTACAGAGAGGCACGCTGGCAGAAGGAACCAACCGTTGATCCACCGTGATGAAGATGTAGTGGTCCGCAGGAAGCAGCGGACGATAGTCGCAGAGATGTTGCGGACGGACGACACTGAGTGTCACTCGGTGTGTCACGTCTATATATAAGGCAGCTACTGTTCACATAGTGATAGAAAAGGCAGATAATCATTTGTCACTGACAGGCATTCATTCTTGTTATTCATGCTTGGGCTCTTCAAAGAGATCCACAAAGCTTCCAGTATCTTTCGTGCAGAAATTTTTGTCTCGTACGCCAAGATAAAACATTTGACCTCAAACTCAGCTCCGCCACGTGCTTCGAATCTATGCTTTCCCAACGGTGATACCAGTTTCCCTCGTCTTTTGTTTGCTAAGTGCTCTTTGACCCTGATATTCAATGCTCTGCCCGTCTCACCTATATAGGACGCTCCGCAACTTGAACACTCCAGTTGGTATACGACCCCTGACTTCGCGCAATCTCCTAATTTTCCGTACGGCGAAACAGTGCATTGCTCTGATACGCATTCTGTATCGTATAACCTGTTTCGCACCAACTGCTTCCTGATACTTTCGTTCGGAATGTTTATCAGTACAAACTCATTTTGCAGTTGTGCTCGAGTAATGCACTGCTTTATCGCTGCGCTCATTTCATCGAAGATGAAAGGTATGCAAAGTGGGGCTCTCTTTTCGTTACGTGCAGTTTGACTACCACTAGATCGTGGACGTCTACAAATATGCGGATCTGTGTAGCAGTGGATTCGAGCCGCTCTTCTTCGCCAGCGCAAACTTCTACAGCCGTTCTGTGCATGTTCTTAAGCATTGCACTTTTCGTTGTGGTAGGATGCGCTGACTTTGCATGTATTATTATATTCTTTGAGCTTTCTTTCCCGCCATTTCATTCGAATCGTGCCACCAGATAAGTTTATCCGGGTGTTCAGGAACGAAAGCCACCCACTGGACGGGGTTTCTCTGGTAAACCTAATGTACTGTGACTGCTGGTTCAAAAGCGCGAAACATTCGTCCTTTTCGAACTGAGTCGATCTTATTACGCAGCAGTCGTCGATGTATCGACAGTACATTATGGGCAAGCGTCCAAGTACTGCTTTTGAACCAGCAGTCACAGTACATTAGGTTTACCAGAGAAACCCCGTCCAGTGGGTGGCTTTCGTTCCTGAACACCCGGATAAACTTATCTGGTGGCACGATTCGAATGAAATGGCGGGAAAGAAAGCTCAAAGAATATAATAATACATGCAAAGTCAGCGCATCCTACAACGACGAAACGTGCAATTCTTAAGAACATGTACAGAACGGCTGTAGAAGTTTGCACTGGCGAAGAAGAGCGGCTCGAATTCACTGCTACACAGATCCGCATATTTGTAGACGTCCACGATCTAGTGGTAGTCAAACTGCACGTAACGAAAAGAGAGCCCCACTTTGCATACTTTTCATCTTCGATGAAATGAGCGCAGCGATAAAGCAGTGCATTATTCGAGCACAACTGCAAAATGAGTTTGTACTGATAAACATCCCGAACGAAAGTATCAGGAAGCAGTTGGTGCGAAACAGGTTATACGATACAGAATTTAGGGGTCGTATACCAACTGGAGTGTTCAAGTTGCGGAGCGTCCTATATAGGTGAGACGGGCAGAGCATTTCAGGGTCAAAAAGCACTTAGCAAACAAAAGACGAGGGAAAGTGGTATCACCGTTGGGAAAGCATAGATTTGAAGCACGTGGCGGAGCTGAGTTTGAGGTCAAATGTTTTATCTTGGCGTACGAGACAGAAATTTCTGCACGAAAGATACTGGAAGCTTTGTGGATCTCTTTGAAGAGCCCAAGCATGAGTAACAAGAATGATTGCCTGCCAGTGACAAATGATCTTCTGCCTTTTCTATCACTATGCGAACAGTAGCTGCCATATATATATAGACGTGAAACACCGAGTGACACTCAGTGTCGTCCGTCCGCAACATCTCTGCGACTATCGTCCGCTGCTTCCTGCGGACCACTACATCTTCATCACGGTGGATCAAACGGCTGGCTCCTTCTGCCAGCGTGCCTCTCTGTACGTTGTGCATAAGACGAGGTCTAGACTCGATAAGTACGGAGATGACGTTTGGCGGTGTAGTTTCACAGGTCAGGACTGCAATTATCTTTCAGACCTCCGAAGAAGACGACCTTTTCGAAACGTTAGGTCAATAAAGATTCCACCGTACTAATCTGGGCTTGGCAGAACATCTATTACAATTTACGACATTTTGAAGTGTTTGCTTATCTTCATTCTAGCCTGTTTGCCGATGGGTTGAAAAAACCGACAAAACTTTCGGACCCACCTAATATTTTATAGAGGCTAAAAAAATTACCACTGGTTCATTTGAGCGCTAGGAAAAATGTTACTAATGTTTTTATATTATTTGCACAATCAATTTTTTCTCTAATAAATGCTCATAACTTCTCGTGCAGGAATGCACCGCAAATAATGAAGACAGGTTTGGTATCAGCATTTTGCGCCCTCCAACGTGGTGTACAAGAATCCATCTCA